CGATTTTTTTTTTTTTTTTTTTTTAATTTTAAGCCAAGATCCCAAAGCCAGGGAGCGTCTTCAGAGAGAAACACTGGGGCAGGCTCAGGGCACAGGGGTCAGCAACTAAAGGCCAGATCGGGGACGCTGACTGTTTCATCAAATGCAGTTTCACGGGCACGAAGCCATGCCTGTTTGTTCACGAACTGTCTGTAGCCTCTCTGGAATGACAATAGTAGAGCCAGAGACCTGCAGCCCTGGAAGCCGGAAATGTTTACCACCCAGCCCTCTGAAGAACAGCCAGCTGATTCCTGAGCACAGCAGTTCTGGGTTCAAATCCCAAGCGTGCCATTTAGCACCTGTCTGACTGCTAGGAACCTCACTTTTCTCTTCTGTAAAATGGGAATGATACTAATCTAACAAACTACTAAACAATGGTGCCATTACAATAGAGGGTAGCGGGGTGAAGGCAGCCTTTTCACCACTGTCCTGAAGCAGATGCCACTGTTATCCTCATTTGACAGATGAGCAAACTGAGGCTCAGAGAGATTAAGGAGCCTGCCCACAGTGAGTGGGGGAGCTAGGAGCCACCCCCGCGATATCTGGCTCCAGAGACCCTGCTCTTCACAGCTCGGCTATGTGATCAGGTACTCGAATGCTTACGACAACGGACAAACGAGAATGGAAATAAGACATTAAGTTATTATTTATTTATTTTAAAACCTGCGCAATTGAAAGATTTTGCCCTTCAGATTCAAATGCCTATTTGAGAAAAAACTTTCATATTGATTTATTAAGTTCATGCAGAGGACAAGCAGAAGGGCCTCATCCAGGGTAGATGACTCAGTGACGATCACAGCTCCACCTCTCAGAATGTTCTGAAGGGGTAGAAATTTCCAATGTTTTTCCTTACCATAGGACTTGGTGGCTAAATTCAATGCCTGGTAGCTTAAGTGAGCGTGGGAGCCTTTTTCCAGCAGAGTTGGGGAGGAGCAGAAGGAAGAACTGGGTGCAAGGCAGAGGGCTGGCCTCAGCTCCGGCCTGCCTCGGGCAGGTTGCCTCACCTCTCTGAGCCTCAGTCTCACCTGTGAAGCCAGGATGAGGACACCTGCCTTGCTGGACACTGGGGATCAGGAGGCTCCCCCCAGGTAATGTAGGTGAATGTGCTTCTAAACTCCGAGTTTGTGAGAATTAACAATCTAATTTTTTCTATTCCTGATCAACCTCAAACAGGGTCTTGCTCTGTAACCAGGTTAGAGTGCAGTGGTGAAATCACAGCTCACGGCAGCCTTGAACACCTAGGCCCAAGTGATCCTCCTGCCTCAGCCTCTCGAGTAGCTGGGACTATAAGCACATGTCACCATGCCCAGCTAATTCTTAAAATTTTTGTAGAGACAGGGGTCTCACTACATTGCCCAAGCTGATCTCAAACTCCTGGCCTCAAGCAATCCTCCCACCTCAGCCTCCCGAAGTGCTAGATTATAGGTGTGAGCTACCCTGCCCTGCCAACCTCAATGTTTTTGAGGCTCATTAAAAGATAAAGGAAGCCTAATTCTGTTCTTTCCACTTCTTTCCAACCCTTTAAAATCTCTCCATAGTTCAAAGTAAATTAAATTCCTATATTTAAAATGCCCAGAAACCTTTTAAAAAATACATCAATTTTCACACAGATAGTTTTAGTGACAATTTACTATCTTTCTAGCAACTAAAATAAAATTATAGATTTTCAAGAGAAGTACTACTTTGGATCAAATTTAAGCATATGCAGAATGTACAACACCAAGAGAGAACCCTGATGTAAACTATGGACTTTGGTGATGATGATGAGTCAGTGTAGATTCACTGACTGTAACCAACGCACCCTCTGGTACAACATGCTGACGGTGGGTGAGGCTGTGCGTGGGGGTAAGGGAGGTTGATGGGAATTCTCTGTACTTTCAGCTAAATTTTGCTGGGAAGCTAAAATTGCTACGAAAAATAAAGTTTATTAATTAAAAAAAGAATACGCAATATAATGAAAAAGCTATCACTTTACTTTAAAAAGAGAGCTCCAGATATGTTCACAATGGCAATTTGTGGATGATCATTATGGCATGGTTTTTAAGGGCAAAAAGCGGAAAACCACCTATGTGTCCACCCTAAGGAGAACAGTTAAATACAACACATTCAAACACTGGACTAGCACACAGCCCTTACCAAGAATGAAGCAAATCTAAATCTGTATGTGCTGTAAGAAGATAACATAAGATATAATGTTAAGTTAAAAAAGCAAGCTGAAGAACAAGATTTAGTAGATCTCATCTGAGTAAAAATATTAAACGAAAAAGGACAATGAGTATGTACAGAGAAAATTCTAGAGCTATACATGAAATTTCAACAGAAGTTACCTCTGAGCAGTGGCAGGGGCTGGGGAAGATAGAGAAAGGAGGAGAATTTCATTCTACTTCACCCCCTCTTCTCTACTATTTGCATTTTTACCATGAACAGAAATTGCTTTTATAAAGTTAGTAAAAATTAAATGTCTAGCTGGTGTTTATAACACAAACATGTCATCAGGGAAACAGGTTGCCACTGGGGTGTTCTCTGAGTAAAGAAAGTAATGTTCACTTTACTTTGGACTGGGGGTAAAAGGGCACTTTCTGAAATTGCGATCGAGGTTTAAAATTTACCCGCAGGCAGCCGGCAATGTATTTAGTAAAAATACCAGTTAAACCAGCATTTCATAATCACTTTCATCTGTGACAATGGAATCCGGCAGGCCCTTGGTGTAGACCACACGGCCCCCACCATGGTACACAGAGTGGCTGGCACACACCACCTCTCTAGCCTGTGGTGAGAGCCACCCCTCAGTGAAAACACCTTCAGAGCCAGCAGGGCCCCACCACACTGCGGCCCCCAGAGACTCCCCGTGCACTAGATCGCCCTCATTGGGAGACAATGCCAAAAGACGGGTTTTTCTGAGACGGCCGTCTTGTACATTAAAATATAAGCATATACTTACTTCCATTCATCATTTTGTCTTTAGCAAGTGGGTGTGTTGTAACTTTACTTCCAAAACCTATTTCATGAGCCAACAGAGCAGTAGGACCTAAAAATAAGATCAATAAAAAGATCTAAGAGCAGATACAGGAAAATCCATGTTTTAAAAATTGCAATAGCAAAAGTATTCTTCAAAATCAAGAAGGTCTTACCTAAAGTATAGTTATGATTCTGAAATTAAACACTCCTTAGTATGAGAGGTAAAGTATGTTTATAACAAACCATTTGCTTAAATACTTCAATAACCATTTAATCAAAAAAATTTACCTTGATACCAGTAGAGCATACCAGATGAACAAAATATGCTCACTTCCCTCCAGGCCCCTGTCCCAAGAACAGGGACGGAATGTATCAGGAGTCCAAAAGAGGGGGAGACCACTGTCGGGTAGGGCTAACTTCTTACTTCACTCTTAGCAAAAGGAAAGATTTAGTTACACATTAAGGGCAAGTGGTACTCTCTGAACTTCTGGACTTTATTGCTGTTTTATAGTTTTATTTTTCTACTTGAAAATGAAAAATGGAAAATTAACACTCATTCATCCATCTATCCATCCAAATGTACCAGGTGGTAGGGTTATTAATGTGAATAGCACAACGTGCCCTCCCTGAAGGAGATACTGTGAAATGCCTAACAGGCTGAGATGTGAAGGCACCAGCATCACTTTATTAAAACTACTGAAGCAGGCCGGGCACGGTGGCTCACGCCTGTAATCCTAGCACTCTGGGAGGCCGAGGCAGACGGATTGTTTGAGCTCAGGAGTTCGAGACCAGCCTGAGCAAGAGCGAGAACCCGTCTCTACTAAAAAAAAAAAAAATAGAAAGAAATTATCTGGACAATGAAAAATATGCAGAAAAAATTAGCCGGGCATGGTGGCACATGCCTGTAATCCCAGCAACCCGGGAGACCGAGGCAGGAGGATCACTTGAGCCCAGGAGTTTGAGGTTGCTGTGAGCTAGGCTGACGCCACGGCACTCACCCTAGCCAGGGCAACAGAGTGAGACTCTGTCTCAATAAAAAAAAAAAAAAAAAAAAAAAATCTGACGCAAAGAACCACGCACAAACTTCAGTTTGTGACGCTATGCCTTGCCTCTTAATGTGAAGTCTTTGAGAATATTACAGGTACTAACTTGAGATTTTTATCCAAATGTATTCACTGAAAATGGTCAACTTCAGTGATAATCACAAGCATATTTTGTATGTAATGGTCCTCAAATAAAGAATAAAACCAAAAAGGTTTTATAGCTTTAACTGTTACCCTATCTGAAAACGTATTTATTCTACCTTTTTTCTCTAAGCCACACAATAAAAAATTCTTTCTAAGGTCTCATGTCATACCTAGAAAAACGTGTTAGAATAGCAACTTGACCTTCTAAATGCTTAGGGTGCTGTGGGACCCTACAGTACAGTCTGTATACGTTTAGCTTTAGCAAACCTAAGACTTAGTCTTACTGACCTTTCATTTTTTAACAGGAATCCAAGAAAAAGTGGTTATATAATATACCCTCAGACCATAGCTGTTACAAACAGTAAGAACACACAAATACCGAATTACATAAGCTCTCTGCCTAGTATCAGGTGTCAGTTTCAGCCCAAGTCCTGATTTACAGCTCTTAAATCAAGCCTCAAATATATGTCTCTCTTCCTGTTACTTTCATTCTACATACAGCAGCTATGTATGGTAGCAAATTATAAAAGTGTAAAAACTGAATAACTGTCACTTGATTTTTATTTGAATGAATTCATAAATCACCTTTCTTTCTTATTTGGTAAGATTTTAAGAAATAAGAAATTCCTACATTGTATTTTAAAGTAAACTTCACTAGATGATCATACAGCGAGGAGAGTGATCATGCAGTAAGTTAGAATTTTTAGGCTACTCCCTTCGAGGTGATAAAATTGCTGCCTACAATATAATGTTAATAAATTTACGTTACAGTTGGTAGGAATTTACTGATAGCTTACTCATCACGGTAAGCTCTTAATTACTGCTTTCTGGGACTTAAGAACCCTATTTGGAAGATTACACAGAGACATTTAGTACTCCCATTACTTGAAATTCTGAGGCATGAAAAATGCTGCCGAGTCTGCACTACCGCCGAACTCTGAAGGCGAACTCCACCAAATCCCCTTCTGTAGTCAGGGACCAAAGCCAACAGCGCCACCCTGTGGTAACTTACAAAAGACTTACACCTTGGGCAACCCCCCCCCAACTCCTCCAGGTGTCCAAGGGCTCCTTCCCCGAGCTCTCATGCCCAGACCTCTCCTCACACCTGCCCACCTTCACCTCCTAGCTTCCCCCTGCTCCCACCCCAAGTAAATTTCATTTCATTTTCTTCTCAAGATAGTCTCCCTTCCAATTTCTGTCTTGCTCATTTACTCAGTATTAAAGGCTAAGCTAATATTCTTTCAGTTCAGAAAAGTTTCCAATTTCTAACTGCAACACTTTAGAATAAACTGATTTTTTGTTTGCTGATTTAAAAAATCTGAATCTCTTCCACCATTCCTCTGTTCCAATCCCATTACACACTTGCGTTACTGCATTTACTCAGCTCGTTGTCACACTTTTTTGTATTTTTGTGTAGTGCCTCGAATAGTGGTGTAGGATATTCAACAGTATAAACTGCTAGAGTGTTGTTTACTTTTTAATGTCAATTTAAATTATTATAAGGTCCACATGCTTCTAAGCACGGCATTCAAGCTTGCCTGACCACGAAATAGCGAACCAGATGTGGCTGATCATTTTGCTACCTTTGTGGCACAGAAGGAGAAACTGACGTGCAGCTTTACTTTCAGCAGAGTCACAAGAGAACAAACCCAGGCCAAACCCTTACTTTCTTCCTTTGGTCAAAGCACCTGAGAATGAGTCTACTTTCACAGAAGCACACTAGTCAAAGAAAACCAAACTAATAGGATCTATGACCTTCTCCCCAAAGAGGAGCACAGCTCCCTGGGCTGCATAGACTGCAGTACCCTGGGGCAGGGGATAACTCCCTGACTCTTGTGACCCCAAGGACAGGGCCAGGGTGGTCACCTCTGTGGTCCTCTCAGTCTCTAATGCTGCAGTTCTCAAACATTGAGGTCTTAAGATCTCTTTAGCTTTTATGTGGGTCACTTCTATCAACATCTGCCATGTTATAAATTAAAACTGGGGATTTTTTTTTTAATAAATTCACCCTGATAAACTGAGAAATTTTTAAAACACAAGAATGGCACCATCATACTCTGATGTCACTCTTGCAAGAATGAGAGAAAAAGGGAAACAACATCTTAGTAGTATCTGCTTTGACCCGATGAGCCCACTGAAAGAACTTTGAGAAACACTGACTGCTCTGATGCGAAGTTCCTAGGATCCCCGGCCCGTAACTTCTTTTAAAAAGTCTATTGTATTGAATAAAACAACGTAATTTTATCAAACCATCCATTTATTCATTCACTCTTCTGACAAACATTTAATAAAGATCTTTAACAAGGAAAGCGTAGGCAAAAATTACACTATGGAAAAAATGCAAGATGGCAGAATATCATGATATTAAAGCAACAAGAATGGATTTTAAAATGGTATCAGAAAACGAAATATTCTTAAGTTACAAAGATGTGAGGACATCTATGAAGTACAAATGACCTTATTCTAAATGGCAGATAATGTGGTGCCCAAGATCATTCAACACAGAATCAGAAAACGCCCAGGAAGCAGGCGGAAAGCACCGTGAGGCTTCTGAATGTGCAGGGCAGGCACAGGGCAGAGCTGTTATGTTTGTGTCTGATAGATTCTTGCTGACTCCGTGCTGGCAAAAAGACTTTCTGGCACAGAGATTTGCTGTAACAAGCTGTTTACTGAATTCCAGAGGCCCTTATTTTGCTCTGAGGTCAACCAAACACAGAAAACGCTAAGTTTCACCGAATGTAGATCAAAGGCACTGAAGCAGAAAAGGGAACAATTGCACTCACTTCTGAAATGACACCGACCTCATGCCACCCAAACTAAATACATCAACACAGATGCCCTTCACGCTTTACGAAGGGGAAGGACTATCTGGAGTAAAACCTCGTAACGAAAGGCTACTCACTCCATCAACCAACGACACACTTAACACAGGCTGCTGCTGCACGTTACCTGCGCAGATGGCGGCTATGAGCCCCTTCCTTTCTTCCTGTTCCTTCAGTATCTCCTTCACAGCAGCAGACTAGTCAAAGAAAACCAGAATATATCCAGTCACCATTAAGCCACAAACCAATCTCTCACCAGGAAACTTTAGCAGAATCTGATTTTAGCTTAAACCACAAAAGCTCTTCGATCTATTTTCCAACAGTATTTCTAAACATTAATATAAAAATTAGCACATTCATAATGTGTCTGTATTCTTAAACCCAAGCAAGGCATTTATTATGAGAAAGGCATTCCTCCACATTTAAAGATAAGAAAAAAAAAGCAGTTTCCCATGGGCCCATTTGACCTTGCCATTTTATACTCGGGAAGCAAGAAACAGAAGGGAGGAAAGGTAGTGTCTGCAGAGAGAGGAACAGACTCTAGCAGGACATGATCCCTAACACCGACTCACTGGCTTTCTGAGTGTTTCTACCTGCCCTGCCCCACCCACCGGCCTCCCCCACTTGTTTCTCAGGGGCTGACTCCTGGCTCCCAACTTAAAATGAAGCAGCAGAGGCCCCGCTGATGACACGTTATTCCTGCTGGCGACTCTCAGCCCCAGCCTCCCTCAGCCCTGACTGCCGCGTGGACAGCCAGTTCCTTTCTCCTTCTACGCCTAGCCCTTCCCAAAGCACAAAATCAGATCACTCTGCTGCTGCAGGGGGAAAAAAAATAAGTAGTCATCCTTTAGACTATACTCACTGAATCTTCATAAATAATTGTTCCACCATTTCAGCTTACTTTCACAGTAAATGTTACTAAAAATATTGTTTTGAGTTAAGGCTAGTATACCATTTTGCTAATTTTAGGTGTTTCTATCGTATTCATAGCCTCCTCCCTATAATATCTGAAAAACAGCAAAACCAATGGAACATAGAGCAGATGCTGAAATACTTTCTTTAGAGTCCCCTCCCTCCGCCAGCTTTACTGGGGTATAACTGAGAACAGTCTTTACCTCAGATAAATTCTGTGCACCCAGATTCCCTCCTGGCAGGACCACCACATCATACGGTCCCTGTAACAGTTTAAAAAAAAAAACAAAAGAAAGAAAGTAAAAACATTTCATTTCAAATGTACATTAAAGTGAGAGTCCAATAATACTTTCCTATTTTAAATGTGGGACACAAGCAAATTACAGGAGATTATCTAAATATCTGCAAACAGTAGAACAGTTAAGTAAGTTAAGGTGTATCCATATGATGGAATTTTGTTGCAACTAGCAAAATATGCAGAAAATCAGTATACAGTAACATGAAAGGGTGTCCATGTTGCAGAACAGCAGGTATACTTACTGCTATAAAAAAACAAAAAAATATGTATGTGTGTGAAGATAGATGAATGTGTGCACGTGTATAAACACTGCATACACACCCCCACGTGTTGGTGTACACAGGTGTGCGGAGACAAAGGAGACGCCCCAGCTGCCAATGGGAGTAGTGTGGGCTGGGGTGGAGAGGGAGAGGGACAATGAGAAAGGGACAGTTAACATGTTGGCTTTACATATATATTGTATGAATCATTCTTCAATAAGAATGTACATAGCAATTTAAAGAATTAAAAGAAAGTTCTGAGTAAAAGGTGTAGACAAAAATATTTTTAACTTGATGAAAAATGAACAGGGGGCATACTTTAATATCCCAAACACCAAAACATTTTAGAAATATAATTAATTTCAAACTTGCTCAAATTACAAAATGGAAATTGGTTTTTTTCTGGAGACACTGTCTTGCTCTGTCACCCAGGCTACAGTGTAATGGCCTCATCATAGCTCACAGCAACCTCAAACTCCTGAACTCAAGCAATCCTTTTGCCTCAGTCTCCCAAGTAGCTGGGACTACAGGCATGCACTACCATGCCTAATTTTTTTGTTTTGTGTAGAGACAGGGTCTTGCTTTGTTGCTCATGTTCGTCTCAAACTCTTGGCCTCAAGTGATCCTCCAGCCTTGGCCTCCCAAAGTGCTAGGATTACAGGCATGAGCCACTGTGCCCAGCCTAGAATTACTTTTTAAGACCATAAACATCCTGTTATTTTAAAACCGAGCAAAACTCAAAACTAAAAACAAAATGTGTAAAATACAGAATTTCTTTCACTCCTTTTAGAATCTGAACCAAACAATACATACATACAAAAGGTAACCACTTCCTCAAAACACTACAAATAAAACTATCACATAATTCTGGAATTCTGCTATTGGGCATTTATCCAAAAGAAAGGATATCAGCATACTGAAGAGACTTCTGCACCCTCACATTTACTGCAGTACTATTCACAACAGCCAAGATTTCAGATCAACCTAGGTGTCCAACAACAGATGAATGGATAAAGAAAATGTGGTATATAAACACAATGGAATACTATTCAGCCATAAAAAATGAAATCTTATCATTTGCAACATGGACAGAACTGGAGGATAATATGTTAAACACGAAATAAGCCAGACACAGAAAGACAAATATTGTATGTTCTCACTCATATGTGGAAGCTAAAGAAAGAAGTAAAAAGTAGGACAGAGGATACTAGAAGCTGGAAAGAGTAGAAGGCACCATGGGATAGGGAGAGATTTGTTAAAGGATACAAAATAACATTTAGATAGCAGGAATAAGTTCTAATGTTCTATACCACTGTAGGATGACTATAGTTAACAATATTTCATAGTTTCAGTTAGAAGAAGGAGATTGAATGTTCCTAATACAAAGAAATGATAAATGTTTGAGATGGCAGATACGCTAATTACTCTGATCTAATCACTATACATTGTATGTATCAAAACATCACTATGTATCCCATGAATATGTGTAAGTATTATGTGTTAATTAAAAAAAAATAAACAGGTAACCACTGTTCTAAAATAGCCAAATAGCACAGGACGAAAAAAAAACTTGAGAAAAACCAATATCCATTTCTACTTCTCACTTTTAACGCACTATTTACAGGCTGGGCGTGGCTCACACCTGTAATCCCAGCACTCTGGGAGGCCGAGGTGAAGGATCACTTGAGCTCAGGAGTTCAAGACCAGCCTGAGCAAAAGCGAGACCCCGTCTCTACTAAAAACAGAAAAATTAGCTGGTGTCATGGCACGAGCCTGTGGTCCCAGCTACTCAAGAGGCTGACGCAAGAGGATCACTTGAGCCCAGGAGTTTGAGGCTGCTGTGAGCTACAATGATGCCACCGCACTCTACCAGGGTGACAGAGTGAGACTCTGTCTCAAAAAATAAAATAAAAATAAAACAAAAACAATTTATAAAGTTTCAACATCTTACATGTAAATATCAAAATTCAAACTCTCCACAATCTAGCAATGAAATATCTGAATTTATTATAATGGAATAAACTTTCTTCTATGCCCTGAAGACAGCTTGGTGTGGGGAACCATACTCCAAATGTGTCAGCAGGGCACAGCTAGCTGTTCACAGGCCTCCTTTCCTGTTGTGACTTCGCTCCCAGAGGGTACAGCCCACGCTCCC